TGTATTTTATTAAGATTATTATAGTCTTGTGATACTTAATTTGATAAAAAAAATTAATTTGGTCTTGCCCTAAGTAAATTTGTGATTGTAAATAGTCGCTGCCTTTCATAAATGATTCACGCTGCCGATGTTAAAATATAAATTTTATTTTTATGTGACACGTTTCTCCTAAACCAAATCAATATAAAAAATACAAAAATAAAGAGAATATTTACCAATTATATGAATCCACAAACCTGAGATTCAATCATTATGTTAACTGGAATTTCAATAGAAACGACCAATTCTTCTTTAATATTTATATTTTGTGTAACAAAAAACCTGCAACGCAGAATCGTGAACCCCATAATAAAATGGTTGAATTACAATTCATCAATTATAGTGAAAAAAAAACTCTAATAGAAGTTTTTTATACATTAGATGAGCAAAGTGTTCAACAGTTTTAAAACACAACAAAATACTAACATAAAATCTCATTTAGATCACCATGTCAATCAAAATAATACTTGAGTCAAATATGAAAAACCATAGGACATCAAAAATATTTGCATCTTCAAAATTCATAAAAAAAATTGTGCTCAAAGTTTCTACATCCAACGAATTTTATTTTCTTAGATAAAAAGACATAGTTTGGACAAAAACTCAATTGTCAAGCCAACTATACGATAAATTATTCGAAGCTGTGAATTTGGCCAGGGTTAGGTTATTTCGAGTCCATACGCTCGTATCCTTCGAGAGTCAGGCCCAGACCCTAGCCTTTCATTTTATCATCCAACCTAAGCACTTGTCTTGATGTCCTTTCACCTTCGATACTTAGAGCCCACTGGCGGATCTGGCTATGGTCTAGGGTGTGCAGTTGCACACCCTTATTTTAAAGAAATTGTACTATTATACGTAAGTTCATAGAAATGGCTATTGGTTAAGGTGGTAAAAATATTTTTTTTTTCATCATTAGGTCCCGGGTTCGATACCCCACCGGCGCATCCTCTCAAAAACCGATTTTGGTCCACTATTTTTATAAAGTGATATTTAATTTTTTATTCTACAATTTCGAACCCCTTGGTAAAAATCCGAGATTCGCCATTGTTAGAAACCCATCAAGATTTATTTTTTATTTTTCTTAACATAGAGGAATAAAAAATTTACAAGCACGTACCATATGAGGATGATATTGAGTTTTTTAGCGTGGAAATATTAATTTGGGTAAATTACACCCACACCCCTGAGGTATGCTTAAATAACTTTAAGGTTTATGTGGTATCGATAATTACACTCACCTCCCTGAAACGTAGTTAGAAACTCTAACGGGATAATGCATTGGATACATTATTCCGATAGGGTTCTAATGGACTATTACTTTTAGCTAGTGGTGGAGATAACAATAGAGTTATGGGCAGGGCCGGTCCTGCGTGATTGGAGGCCCTGGGCAAAGACTTAAAATCGAGGCCCTAAATTCCAATTTTTTTTAAATGTACAAATATATATATATATATATATATATATATATATATATATATATATATATATATATATATATATATATGTGTGTGTGTCTGTGTGTGTGTGTGTAAGATATGGATGTATTAAATAAAAATGGAGTACTGGAAAAAAGTTTTTTTAATTTAACAAAAATAAAATAATTAAATTTTGTGAAATTAAAACACCAATATCATAGAAAAAAACAACTAAGTTTAAACGGTAGAAACTTACAACAGAGAAATATTTAGGAGTGCAAGAAAAATTAAATTAGAGTAAAACAATGTACATGAGAGAGAAATGGTAAGAGGACAAAAGAGGTTGGGTGAAAAAAAAATAGAGAGATAAATGACAAAATGGATTGGGTCAAAAATTAATGTGGAAAGTGGGGATAAAAAAGTTAAAAAATGAAGAAAATAGGGGTTGGAAGAAGAGAAAAGAAAAATAATTATAAAATAATAACAAAAAATATATTGTTTTTGGCCCCATTGAAAAGTGGGCCCTGGGCCTGGGCCCTGCTCGCCCTGGGCCAGGGCCTGCCCTGGTTATGGGGAGTTATGGGGTGACATGGCTCCCCCAATATTTCTTAAATCACCCATAACTCTTTGTTGTCTCCACCACTTCCTGAAACCAATAATCCGTTAGAACTCTATCGTAATAACGTATCCAATGCATTATCTCATTAGAGTTTATAACTACGTTTCAAGGGGTGAGTGTAATTATTGATACTTCAGGGACCTTAAAGTTATTTAAGCATATCTAAGGGATGTGGGTGTAATTTACCCTATTAATTTACAAAAAAGACAAAATAAAACAATTCCAATAGGAATCCAAAAATACCATCTCCAGAAGAATAATGCACCATTTTTGCAGATAGAACACGACTTTCCATTAAAGTACCTTTCTTTTGACG